TCGGCTCAGCTCATGATCTCACGGTCCGTGAGTTCGAGCCCCGCGTCGGGCTCTGTGCTGACAGCTCGGAGCCTGGAGCCTGTTTCAGATTCTGTGTCTCCCTCTCGGTGACCCTCCCCTGTTCATGCTCTGTCTCTCTCTGTCTCAAAAATAAATAAATCGACATGAAAACAGAAAACAGTGCAGGGATGACGCACAATGGGGTTGACACGGGGCAGGGGGCCCAAAGGGAGCACAGCACCAGGAGGCCGTGATTTAAGATGGTGTCTGTTGAGGGCTGGAGGCCTCACCCGCTTCAGGTTTAGTGGGGTGCTGGCACCTGCAGGGGTCATTACTCTTGTCCTTTAAAGCACTTTCTATCGGATTTACAAACATAGCTCCTCCTGGGGTCCCCTTGTCCCACACGTGGGGATTAACCCGATCCCATGCCTGCGGGAAATAGCGCAAGATGGGACCTCCCGAGCCAGGAAGAGGCCAAGAGTAGCGCCCAGGGTAGACGGAAAGCCTCCTCCCAAGAGCGGGCGTGGACGTTCCGGCAGGACCCGCCGTCTGCGAGCCGCGGGGTGACTTCCCCGCAAACGAGATGGGGGCTGAGTAAATACTTTGATTTGGGCCCTCCCTCCACCCCGACAACGGGGCAGCTTCAGAAGCTAGGGGCCCCCAGTGGGAATCAGGGGAGAAGTGGCTCTCGCGTGGACAGGAAACCGAATAGGCTTACCTGCCACTTCTGGGGCCACCTGTGGTTCCTCCCCCAGGATGGTGACGGCCTCCTGGGGGGCCTCCAGGGAGCTCGGGGCCGGTCAATCAGCCACGGCCGTGACTGGTAAGAGGTGGGACCCCGGCTCCCTTTGGACCCACGGGCTCCCTCTTCCAGTGTCCTCCCTGTTTACGCAGGGGACACGGCGCTGGAGGAGGTGGGTGCCGGGGGCACTCGTGGCCCCCGTGGCCCAGACCACCACGGGAGAAATGGGCTCCCTCGCCTTGTGGTCTTATTTGGGGTGGGTTCGGGTGGCCCCGAGGTGGGTCGCCAGCTGTGAGGGCGGCAGTCGAAGCCTGGCCGGCCTGCTGAAGACCGAGAAGGCCGCACCCCATGGTGATTAGCTGCTGTCTGGGCCCCACAGCCACGTGTTGGAGCTTTCTACGGTTTCTGGGGCTGACTGGCCTACGAACCGGACCCCAGGACTGACTGCCCTGCCCAGTGTCTGGGTCCACATTGTGGATTCCCACAGCCCTCCTGCGCGATCGGAAGAGGGCAGAATGTCGCTGCTCCTGTCACAGTTCGCTGGCTTGGTGACACCACAGTGCCATGTGGTCCCTGAGGGCCAGTCCCGGTCG